TGTGCTGTTTTTGTTATAATTTTTTTTTACTGTTATTTGATGTGGGTAGATCCTATTAATACCATGGTTACATATTTGCTGTGTTGTTTTCTCTAATTTTTTTTTGTTTTGTTTTTGTGAGATAATCTATTGCTTCTTAGCATTCAGAATGTAACATTTCACAATTTTTTTTGTCTTTCTATGTGATTATTAGTGTTGTTTTATTTGTAGATAAGCAGCCGAAACTTGGACAGAGTAAGAAAATTGAAGAGTGCAATGACAAGGTTGACTGCTCGTGTTCAGAAGGTATAGCTTTTTCATCCATTGTTAACACAACTGTTTATCCATTAATTCCCTACATCTTTTGAAGACCTTTCCTTCCTCTTACTCTAGGTGGGAGGGTGGGGTTGAAGGTTTTTCCTGTTTGATATATGTCTTGTGTTGCGCTGTTCTGGGCCTATGAATCCAATCTGAAATTAAATTCAGTTTTGAAATAAACTGCAAATTCTTTTTGGTATTATGGCTTATGATCCATATTTTTGTTTAAAATTGGTAATACTACCTTCGTTACAGATTATGTGCAACGATTTGACATAAAGCAGAGAGGGAAAATGTGTAATCGTTGCACATAACCTGTAACGGAGGTAGTATAAATAAATTACATATTTACAATAGGCATAGTATAGGCCTATTAACTCGATATAAACCTTTAAACACAATTTTAGAGGGTTTTTACTTTTTCATCAAATTCCTTGATTATTAGATTGTTCCACCCACCTAATTGTATTCCCAGAGGGTATTTGGGATCATGGTAAATATCTCGGTAATTCTTACTTGCAGACCATAAAAAGTTGAAAATTTCCAAAATTGAAGGCTTGTCCACGCTTTTTGAGGAATTTTAAAGGTTTCGGGACCCGGTGTCGAAAAATCTTGAGATACTAGGGGATACATCCGGCGGTCATATAATGTCGTTTGGAACCATATATGATCATTATATGTTGTCATAAATGTCCGTGGTAGGTTTGAGTTTATGAAGTTGGTGCAAGTTGTAAACGGGTAAATTAACCGTTTTAAGGTAAATTGGATGGTTCCACCAACCCAATTGGACTCCGGGAGGGTATTAGGGTCCATGGTAAACATCTCAGCAATTTTTATTTCCGTGCCAAAAAAAAAGTTAAAAATATCCAAAATTGAAGGCTATTATCCACGTTTTTTAGCAATTTTGGAGGTTTCGGGATTCGGTGTCGAAAAGTCTTGAGATACTAGGGAATACATCTCGGGGTCATATAATGCCGTTTGGAACCATATATGACCATTATATGATGTCCGTGGTAGGCTTGAGTTTATGAAATCGGTGCAAGTTGTAAACGGGTAAATTGACCGTTTAAAGGCATATTGGATGGTTTTACCTACCCAAGTGGACTTTCGAGGCGTATTAGGGTCTATGGTAAGCATCTCGACAATTTTTATTTTCAGGTCAAAAAAAGTGGAAAATTGTCCAAAATTGAAGGCTATATAATACACGATTTCTATTCAATTTTTGACATTTTTTTAAAAAGTGAATTGAATGCGTGGGGCGACTCCTGGGGTCATATAAGGAGGTATGAAATCATAAGACACCGATAAAGATGTATACAAAGTACCAAGAATGAGTTTTGACTCTATTTTGAAATCCGTGAAATTTTGGAATATGATGATGTCATATAAAGTGTAATAATGTGATGTGACTTGACTATAATGATGTCATATTAATATAATGATGTCATAAAAACTCTGGCAAAAAATAATCTTGTTTACAATTAGAGTTTGAGTAGCTGGGACTTTCTTTTTTCAATTATTGTTTCAAACTTTCCGTTGTTCAAGCTTAAGAACTACTTCGTAATGTTTTTGTATTTTCTATACCCAGACTTACATAGTAAATAGTTTGTATGTCTGCTTATCCTTGTAAGTTTAAGTCATGTGATTATTGGTTGTAGGTGAGGGATGAGCTTGAACAACTTTTGGATGATGATGGTGATATGGCTGACCTTTACCTGTCTAGAAAGCTGGCTGTTCCTGCTTCACCTGTTAGCGGATCAGGAGCCAACTGGTTTCCCAGTTCCCCTACTGTTATCTCTAGGATGTCGAGAGCAAGCAGAGCAAGTGTGGTCACTGGTCGTAGTGATGAAAATGATGTTGAGGAACTCGAGATGTTGCTAGAGGTTATTACAATCTTCACAAGTTTTATTTGGAAGAGATGACTCACAATCTTGTGCTGAGTCTTAACATTATTTTAAGTCCTCTTTTTTTAGAACTTGTTTTCACCTGCAATTTTTTGCACGAAGTGTAAATGAATGTCGGTGCTTGGGTTGGTGTGAATAGCTAATGTCTTTATTCTGGATATGAATTACAGGCTTACTTCATGCAAATTGACGGGACATTGAATAAATTAACAACGGTATGTATAATGAAGAATTATTAGATCTTACTATGCAGTCCTCTAGTTACTCTTCTTGCATCTATGTGTATACATGTTTATCTGGACTATTGTGAACCTGCATAGTGTCACAGACAGGAACATCTGACATAGCCCGTTTAACTATCTCTGTTCAATTGATTAATTTGGAGTCCACTCAACATGCTGAACAGCTGTGGTGATGATGATTGGTTCAAAATAGTGGAGATTGGGGAAGAGAGATGGAAATATATGAGTTAATATGTCATGCCACCAAGGGGATATAGACTGAAAGAGAGGATATGAGAGGAAAAGAAAAGGCTGTTTTTTGGTCATGGTGTTTGCATAAATTGCATTCTGCACATTAAAACCTTTTTTTTTTTTTATCATAAATTGATTATTTTGAATTGGAACTTGCAGCTTCGTGAATACATTGATGACACTGAGGATTACATCAACATTCAGGTTAGTAAATCTTTTGTCTTCAATCTAGAAGTTAATATTCTGAAACATGAATGCCTTCTTTGATGGTACTGAAAGTTGATTTCCTGTGCAGCTTGACAATCATCGAAATCAATTGATTCAGGTGTGGATACTTCCTTCCTCTCCTAATGCTTGAAATTATACAGTTTTTTTCGTCTATACATGATTTACTTGAGAGTCAAGAAAGTTGATTTCTATGCAAGTTGGCTGTCAGTGGGAACTAGGTTGGAAATTCCAACTGTCGATTTCACATGCAATTCAAGAACCACAACATAATTATTTAATTATAACCTTCTAAATCTATCTCAATTCTCTTCAGTTGATGGTCTGAGACTCGAGAGTAATCTGGGTAGTCTATAATTTTTAACGTGTTCTTTGTTCTTTGTGAATGCTGATAAATTTATCTTGCAGCTGGAGCTCTTCCTGAGTTCGGGAACTGTTTGCTTATCAATCTACTCTTTGTTGGCTGCAATCTTTGGCATGAATATACCTTACACTTGGATGGAAAATCATGGTTACCTCTTTAAATGGGTAAATATAACAATTGCATTAAAGTTTAGCTTTGTTACTGTTACCCATTCTATTGTACTTATAGGTCTTTGCATGTTTTGCAGGTAATTATCCTTTCTGGACTTTTTAGCGCGGTACTCTTTGTGGTTATAGTCGCATATGCTCGTTTTAAAGGGCTTGTGGGATCATGAGATCTGTAAATCACACATTTTTTTTCTCAGAATAACAAAATCAATCTCTCTACCAGTGAATAACTCTGGGTTAACCAAATACACACAGTCACACAGACATACTGTCTTATTGGATCCAGCATGCTTGAATTGGCGGCTGCTATTTTCATGTACATACTGTGATACTGAGATATAATTGATACAACTCACAATGCTTGAATTGACCTTGCTGAGGCTTTTTTTTTTGCTGCTCTTTTTATATTAGTTTCCTTTTGTAAATTTACCGAATCTCAGTAATAGGTGTTTCTTTTATCAGTAACAGTTTTTATCAACTAATTGAAACATCAATTGCCTCATATCGAGTGCTATCAAATGCTTTTGCTGAATTTTGACTTCTCTAAATATACTTGTGTTGCATAATTATATATGCATTCTTTTCAAGATATGACATCTATGAAGACGAGCTACCATTCTACCCTTGTTAAATTGATTCGCCGAGGATTAGCATGTGTCTGCTGTAATGCTATATATGCCCCCCTTACAGCAGTAGTTGTAAGTTTTTGATGAACTAGTCATCCCACCTGAAATTAAGATGATGATACATATTGGAGTGGGCACAAAGCAGGAGGGTTGAAGCAAATAGCTAGACTAGTAATACCAGTACATTAACATTATGCAGTGCTACACCATATGATGTCGCTTTTGTTAGGTTTTTGCTGTTAAGAGCACCAACAGACTGGAACGAAAAAGGTAATTGACTAAATTCTGCAAAGATTTTGCAAGTTCTAACAGGAATTGTCACTCAGGGATTTCTCCAAACTAACTGGAACGAAAGACGTATGATGTGAAGTCATGAAAGGAGATCAACTCGTGATTTGCAGATGTGCAACAACAGTCTTGGCTTAGTTGAATTTGTGTGTTTGATGGCTAAATTACGATGTCATGATAATCTCTTCTTGTGTTGCTGCCACTTTATCGTATGATTAATTTGTGAAATGTCGTAAAATTAACCATAAAGTCTGCAGTATTGTAAAACTTTTAAGTGTTAAATATCTACTTTGTATAAATTATACAACAACGATAATTTTTTCACAACACTATTAAGCACACAACGCATAATATTGTCACTTTCAACACACTAATTACAATAATTACATTTTCTTCCCAAGGTTATTATGCCGTGCCAAAGCAAATTTGACTTGACAGGTTCGTTGAGATCTAGATCCACTCAAATCTAGCTCAAATAACTTGCGAGTCAACCTGAACTACATCCCTTATACTCCGTATTAGAAAATAATATATGGAATAGAAGTGAGCAACATATGTTGAGAGTTGAGACTATAGTCCGTAGTAATAACATCGTTAATATCAATGCAACACAACTCATCTAATACCTTAGAATATTTGATAATGATATATTAAGGAACAACTACAAACAACTGAATTGAATTTGATTTGATGAGTGAGCATAGTATTTCAGATCCACGTCGTTGTAGCAGTTAAGTACGAGTAGTTGATCAATTTTATGAGGCATTGCATTCCATTACATATTTTGCAGTGTTATTACATTCATAAATTACAAATCTGAGTAGTTGATCTGTTCACCTGTATTTTTCTCCCATTTATTTTCCCCCATCTTTCACATTCTTCTTCCTCCATTTTTCTTGTACCCCAAAAATTAAAAATGGCGGGTTTTCTCTCTCTTCTAAGACGCTCATATCTCTCCCTCTACAATTGGATTGTTTGCTTTGGATGGTTTGTGTTCTTCTCCTTATCTTCTGATTTACTCTTGCCGTCTTTAAAAGTTCTTCGTGTTTGGACAGTGATTATCGCGTTTTAAAAAGTCAAAACAGGAAGAACTTTTAAATACGAGTACATTATTATATCAATCTAATCTAATCTAATTTATTACAGGATTCAAGTTTTGTACTTTGCTGTAAAAACATTAACAGAGTCAAGCTATGAGCATGTATACGACGCCGTTGAGAAGCCTCTTCTTCTTGCTCAAACTGCCGCCGTTTTGGAGGTTTATCTTCTTCTCTTTCCATTTCCATGAATTATTATTTCTGGGTTTTAGTTTTTATTTCAATGGTATCTGATTTTTTTCTTTGGGGCATTTCGTCGAACAGATTATTCATGGTTTAACTGGTGAGTAAATTTTGGTAATTCTATATAATTTTTCAAAAAGAAGTGATTTTTATGCATTTGGGTGGTTGATAACTAAGTATTTTGAGCTTGTTTGTGCTTAAAATTGAAGGTTTGGTGAGATCGCCTGTAAGTGCAACGCTTCCCCAAATTGGTTCAAGGTTGTATGTGACTTGGGGTGTTTTGTATAGCTTTCCAGAGGTCTGTAATATTAGCCCCTAATTTGATTATGTTTATGTATTTCTTTCTATTTAGATATCAATAATATGATTTGAGATAAATCAGATTATAGTGTGTAACTATTTTGTGACTGCATTTTTGTTTTTGCAGACTCGAACTCATTTCCTTGTTAGCTCTTTAGTGATCAGCTGGTCTCTTACAGAGGTGAAATTCTTATTATCCCTTATATTGTCTCGTTCGAAATAGAATCAGTATGCTAAATGGATAGAGAGATGATAGATAAATTAAATGGAACTGAGGAAATTCAATGTGAAATGAAGAAGGATTATTGGCTTTCTTTCTTTATTAGCTGTCTAAATATAGATTACTAGATGATTACTTCAGTATTGTTGTTGATTGGCACAATTTTCCCAATGACTACACTGAGAAATTGATTCTGTCCAAGGGTGTGTATGTTTCATTTTGTTAGATGTGATTAAGAAAAAAAAAGGAAAATGGTAAATGTAAAGGTGAAGTTGTGTTCAAAGATTTATTATAGTTTGATTATCATAGATGGAGTTGTATGTAGTTATATCTTGGGAATTGGCCTTTTCATGTTTGCCAAAGAATTAGAGGATCTGTTATCTTACAGTCTACACTCCCATCGTGAGCAGGGGCTTTGTGTGCTGGATTCATGCTATTTTTAAAAGCGAGGGCTGTTTTAGGAGGAGTCGGTAGCTTTAATTTAACAAACTTAGCTACTCATTTAGTATAATCTTAAACATGGAAAAGTAAAAGGATCTTGATCATTCAAAAGAGAAATTTATGGCCTGCAGTTAGAATTGAAAGGGTTTTCAAGTATAACATGTTATTAATGGCTGAGGTTTGAGTTGTCTATCAACAAAGCATTGCTCTGGTCCAATTTGGTTATTGGTTTTTCTAGATTTGTGTCTATGTTGCTTTCATGGGGTATGTAGACTCTCTACCCAAATAGATTGAATATGAGGGTTTTATCCAACTCTCTTCACTTGACCATCTTGGAAGCATTGATTGGAGTAGCCAAAGATCCATTGGTATTGCTTACTTGCGTCATATCGTATCTTCCATAAGACTGAGAGTTTGACCCTATCGAGCAATGGCAGTAATTACATTTTCTGATATGGCTATCCCCATAGAAATATTTGATTTAATGAGGAACCAATTAATCTGAGTGTATTTAAGTAAGGCAAGGTGTGACAGCGGACAAAATATATAGAACAATAATTGCGTAATGGTCCTCTAGCCATGCAAGAAAAAGATCACATCTAGAGGGATTCTCATTTGTGTATAATGACCCTATCTATTAAAAGTTGTCCTGTGACTTGTTTAAGAACTATATATAGTTTCTTTGCTTTTAGCAGTAAAATTATACATGATATTCATCCTGGCTTTTTTTCTTCTTCAGATTATTCGGTATTCTTTCTTTGGTGTAAAAGAAACCTTTGGTTCTGCACCATCATGGCTTCAGTGGCTTAGGTACCAGCTGGTCAATGTGTCCTCTATATCAGGAGTTCTGTATTTTCCCCTTGTTAGTAATAAACTTAGATTGCATTTTGCAGGTATAGCACCTTTATGCTGCTGTACCCAACCGGCATTACAAGTGAAGTTGGCTTGATATACATTGCTTTACCTTACATCTGGGTGAGAAATCTATCATACTCTTACAATCCCCCTAAAATTCGTCAATTGTGCTCTAGTTTTGTTATTCTAGAAATATAGAAACCAGCTGTTTCAATATGCTTAGAGTAAATTCCTCTTAGAAGTTGATTTGTTGTTCATCTATTCGCTAACCAAAAAATAACCCCTCCCCGGCTACCCTCCCTCCTCCTTTCTGTCTGAGCCACATTTGATTTCAGATTATTTTTTAAAAAAAATTAGCTGGAATAGAAAAACCATAAAGATTCTTTACTGCTTTAATTTATACCGCCTTACCATTGTAGTTTTTCTTCTAAGGGTATCATTGGAGGCAATGAGTTAAATAGCTCTGATTTTCACTTGCGAAATATAGAAAGTTGCTTATCAGTTTGACAAAGTAAAACAAAAACTGTGACCTACTGTATTATTTTCGGCGAATAGAGTAGGTTTTATGTTTTTGTACCCTAGTAAAGGCATATGAAGAGTGAAAATAGGCATGTTGATCTTTATGCCCTACCCCAGTACTCTTAGAGTAAAATACGAGTTTCATACCACTCCAACTTCAGCTGATGTTATTTCTGCTTGATTTTCTACTATAACAGAATTCAGAGAAGTACTGTGTGAGGATGCCCAACAAATGGAATTTCTCTTTTGACTACTACTATGGTGCATTGCTTACCCTGGGAATTTACGTTCCAGGTTAGTGTTTGATCCCTCTATATTCATTGGCTGCGCTGTTCTTTCCTTTGGCTTAATGGAGTTTGTATGTAAATTTGCAGGAAGTCCGCACATGTACAACTACATGCTTGGACAGAGGAAGAAGGTCCTTTCTAGATCCAAGAAAGATTGATGAGGAAGCAGTACGCCTACATTCTTTGACTTGCTTGTAAACAGAACTCTGCTGCATTACAATGTCGTCGTTTTGATGTTCCATTTTTTCTGGAAGTCAGTCGTGTTGAGTAGCAATTTGTATGTGTGTTTGTTGTACAAGTAAACTAGGAACTAAATGCGAGTTTCTTATTGTCCAGCAGTCTTCTGTGACTAATATTAATAATGCTTTACCAAATATGGCTTAAGCACTCATGTGGTAGGACAAAGATAGAGATAATTTGATAGTTAAAAAGGAAAGTGATGCAATTGAATTAAGGGGTTGTTTGGTTACACAAAGAAAATGGAGGAAGTCAAAAATCATGGGAATTTGAAAATGGGTGAGTTGTTTGGTTGACACTAAAAAGTGAAAATGAGGGATTGCAAATTCATGGGAATTGTGATTTCCCACAAAACATGGGAAGTTGATTACCCAACCCCCCTAGGTAAGTCAAAATTCCCATGATTTGCAACTTCCTTCATGTCAACCAAACAATTTTAAGCAATTTCCATGAATTTGATGTAGGAATTTAATCCCATAAAATACAAATTCCTATGGGAAGTAAATTCCCATAGCAACCAAACGACACCTAAAACTCTATTTTTAGGAAAGCGATGCAACTAAAAAAAACGGAGGAAGTAACATTAATAATGCATGGGTTTGAGTTTCAATTCTCACATTTTCACAAACACATGGAATGATGGAATAATAGAAAACAATAATGGATGTAAGGTATGTGAAAATCATTTTTTAGATTTGATGAAACATAACCCCCAGAAAAAGAAAGGTAAAGTCTAAAAAACCTTAAAAGAAAATTTGCAATAAGATGGACAATTAAATTCGCTGAAGGTTAGCAGAGCAATAAATAAATAAAATCAATCAAAAACTTTGTACTTGACTACTTGCAGTTGTCTTATATTCTTATCCACAACTTACCACTAGTGCTTGTTGAGTACTAGTACTAGTACTCGTACTCCGATTTTAAAACTGACAAATCTCATACTACATATAAAATGTGGACAATAATTTTTAAAATGTTATATGAAGTACTATAAACTCATAAGAATTCAAATTAAGGAGCCAAAAAAAAAAACTAAAAATAACACATGGTCTATTAGTTACTCACTTCTTAGTCCTTACAATAATTGATATCTTTTCTTAAAATAAAAGGTGGAGTATGGTAAAAGATCCTAGATCCGGCACCTCTCATAGGTTTAGTGCTTAATAGCCGGCCCAGCTCCGTAGGTCAACGCTTAAGAGTAGCGGGGGAGGTTTTGTCATACACTCCCAAGTCCTAAACAAATACTACTCAGTATTATCAATCTTGAATGTCTACGCTTGGTTTTATTAATGACTTTTCTAAAATCACTTCAATTATTTTTTATTTTTTTATTTTTTTCATGGGATCCATCAATTATTTGAGGAAAAACACAAAACACTTAAAACGTGAACTGTTGATCTGTTATATGTCAAATCCGATAGATAAAATCACTAAATGGGTGTAAGAGTTTTAAATACTTTATAAGTTCCTAGTAATATTGTAACTTTCTAAAAAAAAAAAAAAAAGTTCGCATACTATATTTTCCTTCATGACATTATCAGAATTTATATATCTAAATAAAACTTTAATTATTACTTAACGGTACTGTCACAAGTGTATAAATACAAGTGAGCTTAAATAAACTGAAAGCAGATGCTAACAAACTGAATCACCTCACCACGCCATTCACTCCCACTTTAGTCGCTCGATACCACATTTCTTACCTGACCAAATGGTATGATATCATTGATAATACAACATACATGGCTTAATATTTTACATATTTACGGGAGCAACGGGCGCATACGGAAGGAGTGCATAGGCCAACTGCCAACAGCATTATATGTAACAACTGCTCACTGCAAATGATCATTAATGTTCTCTTCGTCAGCCAGAGTATGGTAATCTGCACCAAAACCCGAATCCATTAGCCATTAGAACTCGGAAGATCAATGTGATCGTAAGGACATACAAACAATGATCGAGTGAGATTGACATACGAAGATTCCTGAACTTAACCACAAAATATCTAATACAAAGTATGGAAAAAACGATGAGGTAGAACAAAGTCAATAAACTCCATGATGCACAACATCGAGGCAAGCTAACTCAAGATTACAAAATGCAATTGAACATACCCCAACTTGAGATAAAGATCTGAGCTTTCATCATTGTCCTGTGAAGGACCAGAAGAACTACTATAGCCATTAGTGACTGACTCCGATGACTGGCCTTCCTCATATATGACATTCTCTGAATCAGCAGCTTGTTGTATGCCCTTGGATGCTTCCAGCACCTTTAGTAGAGTAATAAAATTTTCATAAGATCTTTCATTATCTCATCAATACAATTTAGGAAACTTTTTTAATAAAATGAAGAGAAGTTACTATATATGGAAATGAAATGATGTCAATCTTACTTGTTGTCTTAGCCACTCATTCTCTTCCATCAACTCAGAACCCTGTAGAAATGAAAACTAAGTCATTACGAATGGGAAGTCGGGAAGAAAAAGCATTTCTTCAACTTATAATCATCTTTGAAATGGAAATGTTTTCTATTTTCTTATTTGGGATATGTAAAAATTACTAATGTCATCATATATATTCATGATATTTAGACCGCCTGGAGGGGTAGTGATACGTTCTTATCTCTATTGTGTATAGAATGCTCATGTAGACATGAAATCCCTAACCTTTTGCTCGAGTAAGTCAATTTCGTTCATAATTTTCTCACCCTGGATAGATACAATAGAATGGTTACAAAAATAACATTAGTCACCAAATCTTAGTGTAACATCGATAAGCAAAATAAATCCTAAATATATAAACCTTTTTATCCATGACGTGTCTTAATCCAAATTCAAGGGACTTTTCCAGCTGTTGTAACTCTTCTATACTTAAACCCTGCAGCTCCTCTCCCCTCATATGTCTGTTTCCACAAGGACAACACGTCGTAAGGACAGTTAGTGATGTTTCAAGGATTTTCATCAGCATCAACTTATAAAACCACCAGTACTTGGCATAACTTCTCTTACCACTTTAGTTGGTATGTAGCCAGTGTCCAGTGATGAATAGCAGTAATGGGAATAGATTGAAATGTAATTTTCAAGCAAACTAACATAGACACATAGTAATGTCCATAGTAATGCAATCATACCCAAGTCCGTAGTAATGCAATCTCATACCCATTTAGATAGTAATAAAAATTAGTGAAGAATAAAAAAAAAAAAATAAAAAAAAATAAAAAAAAAAAAAAATAATAATAATAATAATAATAATAAAAAATAAAAAAATAAAAAAATAAAATAAAAAAAGATAATTTGGGGTGAACCAGCTAGCTTTACCAATCTTACCATGGAAATTGACATTGATTGTTCTTACATATTTATATACATATTCATTGCCATTGCCAATTACAAAACATACTATTATAGTACAGAAGTGTGTTTCAAGATATTCACAGAATTTTTATTTATATTTAGCAAAATACTTAGGTAACAATATAGCCCAAATCTTATTCTTAAATAATGTAAAAACTCATATTTCAAAATGGAGGGAGTAATTAGCAAAGGAATCTTCTATGACAAATCTAGGCCACCCACACGCCCACACCTTTACCTCAAGAGAAATGAAGTGAACCAAGATAAAAGTATTAAAAACTCAAGGAAAAGACACTTTACCTTAGCTGTTGGCTTTGTTGTGCTATTTCATCACTCAATTTGGTATAGTCGCTGTTTTCAACAAGCTAAACAAGCAAATATATGTTGAATAAATTAGCAAACAGAAGATAAATGATTATATTCTGAATGCTAGAAATTGATACATCAAAATCATTCTACAAACATTAACAGGAGAATGTCCATTACATTCTAAGTAAATCTGAAGATAATTGTATCCAAGGCTATTCTTGCTACTCATTTAGGGCTACGTTTTGCTTATCTAGAGGCACCATCCAAATGTAGCCTTGGGAGCACCCAGCTCAAGGTTTACCAACAAAAGTTAGTTTTGTGCGTTTACAGCCCTTAATTAACCATATAAAATATAATGGGCAACAACATCAGATGCGCATTCAAGCCAATCATCCCCAATCCCCACTCTCCCTTATCAATTGGCAAACTACAAGCTAAAAAGATTTTGATAATTCAAGAAATTGTTCAAACTAACAATGTGACAAAGGATGATTAACTATTCCCTTCAGTCTTAAGAGTTTACACTAACAAATTAACAATTACTACCTTCATTCCCAGTCTACAACTCTACGTACCGGCATATATTGGCAACAAATTTTCAAACATAAATTAGCATATTCTGCAAGTTTTTCAGTCCACATATATAAGATAACCCACTCAGATTTTCAGGTATGCTACACATGAGTTCACTTAAGAGACCAAGATCTGACTAATTCAAACAGTAATCACTCTTATCAAACACAAAGAAAATTTCTAAAAATCATGATGAGAACAAACCATTCTGAGAATGAGGGCACACTGTATCTCATAAGATCAAAAGAAGATAGAGTTCACTGAAGTGTACTAGAACCCTTTAGAGATCCAAAATAACCTCTTTCTTTTTTTTTAACTATTTTATTACCCCAAAGGACACCTTAGTGAGCTTACCTGCAACCTTAAAGATGGTTGATCCAGCTTCTCCAAGTTCTTCGAGTGCAATTTTTGCCTTTCAAGTATTTTCTTCATACTTCATTGTAAAAATCAACAATGGATAGAACTTAGAATACATAATTTCACTATTCAAAAAACAAGAGAGACTATGTAATTAATTTTCCAAGCATATAAATGAAAGTAGAGTATTGGAAATAGATCTCCCTATGATGAGGGAGATTAACCAAAGATGGAGAGGCCAACGTGAGAATAAAGATTTCTAAAGAAAAAAGTAGAAGTTAAAAAATAAAAAAAAAATAAAAAAAAAAAAAAAAATCTAAATTTTAAGATTGGCATCCTTATGACCAAAAATATACTACCTAAATACCACTAACAATAAAAGCCAACACGCAAAATTCTATAATATGAGGTCACAATCCAATGCTTAATGAAATCTAAATATACATTCGATGCAAGTTTTTTCTCACAGTAGGCTAATATGCTTGTGTTCCTAGCATCACATACGATGAACTAATCCAATATTGAATAGGCTCACACGCCAAGTCAATAAACAATTCTGCAAGTAGAAAATGATATGACATAACATATCCCAAAGTGAGAAAATAAGCTCAACATGTTCAACATATCAAAGATTTGTTATGCATTAACCAACCAGTCAAAAAAGCTTCCACCTTGTGTAGCCATATAACATATTTGCATGAGCTCTATCGATTGGGTAGGATACTTGTAGGGACAATTAGGTGTCTACAATACTATTATCAGAATCGTCTCAGTAGTAGATAATTTGCAGGCCCTCCTTAGTTTTTTTTCTTACAAAATTACAATTTCCCTATAGTCGTCATTGTTGTACTCATTATATATATAATCAGATCATATTCAGTGCCATGTATACGAGTTAGAAAAAACAAAGTTAGGGTTTGAATAAAATCCAAGAAAAGTGCTAATAGTCAACTAAGGACTGGTTTATTGCATCTCACACTCTAAAACCAAGTGTAATGTGCTAGTGGCCAATCTATTTACTGAATAAAGTAGCAAAATACACAGCTTATTCATTACTCAGTTGATCTTCCTTTTGAAGCACACAATAAAGCAAGTAAACCTAAGTGTACTGCAGACTATGCAAACACATAGTATGTTCTTCAACATCAAATTAACTTTACGCGGCACATACAACACTTATACAGAGTTACAGACAATACAGAATGAGAGCAAGATAGAGACCTGGTACTGGAATACTCAAAGAGCTTGCCAGTAGCCGAGAAGAGGATGAGAGCAACATCAGCATCACACAAGATGCTAAGCTCCTCAGCCTTCTTGAACAACCCTCTTCTCCTTTTTGAAAATGTCACTTGCCTTGCTGTTGTATTATCAATTTTCTTGATCTGAATCTTTTCCCTCGCCATTTTTACTTTTTTAATTTTTTTGTATTTTTTTACAAACAATCACTCTCACTCACTTATTCTCTCTCCTTCAAAAGCTAAATATTTAATCTAACCACCACCAAACCTTCCTTTAAAGGAGTTTAAACACAGAATAAACCAGTGTACAAAACACAAATAATCTCAAAAACCCCAGAAAACCCCATCAATCAAAAACAAAATACTTCAAAAGGGTATATTTTATTTTTTGATTTGATAGCAAAGTATGACGAAATTCACAGAGGCATTTTACCAAACAGGTGGAAGGCATAAACCCTGAAAAGCAAAATGTAGGGCGTACAAAATAGTGGAAATCAAAGGTATAAACCCTAAATTAGATACATCACTCAATCAACCCAATTAGCATAAAAAACCCAACTTTCAGAAGAAGAAGAGAACATTGAAGAAACCCAAGAGCAGAAACACCAAATTGGCAAATTGGGTATTTATGACCGTGTAAAAGGGGTGAACATATAGAAAATAAGGTTTAATTCAATAATTGAATTGGGGTTTTTTTATCTGGGTATTAAGGTGCATCAAACTTTAATGACAAATTGACAAACCCTAGCAATGAGAGAGGAGAGAGAAAACAGAGGAGGGTAAAGTTACATAGCCAAATTTAGTGAAACAAAAGCTTTTTTTTTTGCCGGGAGTCAATTTCATAAATTATAATTGTCTTCTTTTTTGGGGGTATTTTCAATCGTTCGTTTTGATATTCAATTTGTGAAATTCCTTCATTTGGTTTGTTTTTGTGATATATCCGACAAAGGAAGGAGTAATTTTTGTGTAATTTCTATTTGTTTTGGGTCCTTTGAAAAGGATTTTTACCAAAACAATCACGTTCGTTTTTCGGTTGAAATTGACATGGATTAATGTTATCTTAAAGTACAAAAATTAATTTTCACCAATTACAAATAAAAAAAAGTACAAAAATTGACTTGCTTCCTTGGGATTATAAATGGTTTCATTGATTTGCAACGGTTCATTCACTCCTATTGTATGAATGCTATGGACTTGAGGAGTACCTAACTTTGTATGGTTGTGTTTGGACAAAGATGGTGGTACCGTTGTAGTCCTTGTAGGCCTTGTCTTTTGCCGAACTTATGTGTTTTAAGGTTAGTTAGGGTAATTTTATTGCAAGTCTTGAGCAAAGTCTCAACATGAGTCTAGCTCAAGATTCTTGCAATAAACTCATCCAAGACTCACATGAGTCTTGTATGGAGTTTGGAAAAATCCAAACCAATGTCAAGACTTTGCATGGGAACAAATGTTGTCATCTTTTGGTTGATTGCTAATGAAAATTGACCACTTTATCAATCAAAAGTGATTCAATATTTAAAAATAAATTTTAAAAAATAATTAAAAATATTTTTTAAAAAAATATATTTTTGAATAAGATAAATGAGTCTAGAGTGAGTCTTGATATAATGTGTGAAAGTGGAAAAAGTCTTGTATGAATTCGAATAATAAAAAATATTTAAAAGTTTGTGGAAAGCTGATGTCGCAGAGTCAATCTAGATAACAGAACAAGTTTGACGGCTTGTTCTCTTCAACTTATTTATAGTTTAGTTCCTAATTTCTTTCTCTCATAAATATTCAGTCCAGTTCAACTCAATTCAATAAATGAGAACATACCCTGAATCTGGGTATAAACTCACCCAAGGCTCAACCTGAGTTTTGTGTCGTGCCAGAATTTTCAAAATATTGGTTTTATGCACAAATTTGGTTCCACGTGACAAGTGTTGGACCGTGTCATGCTTACGTACCTAAGCCAAATATCATTGATTATAATAAAATGTTTTATTGTAATGTGTCGTGTCTTGTCATGCTTTTTCCAAATCAAATGTGGTCCGACACACACTTTAGCGTGTTAGTCGTGTCTACTTACACCAATTGTGTATATCGACATATCGTGCTATTATTTTTTTTTTAGTTGGCCTGACCCAACTCAAAGTCATTTAAATTAGGATGATACGTATTTATAATTAATTTATATAGTCAAATATCATTTCATCTTTGTGACTCTATAGAAAAAACTTTAATTTACAAGTAAACAATATATATATATATATATATATATATATATATTTAAAGAATTACATTGAGATACCTTTGAGTAAAAGAAGAGATTTGCAACAAAAGACTTATGTTCTGTTACCTTTGTCCAAAACAAGAGCTCTGCAACCCAAAAAAAAAAAAAAAAAAAAAAAAAAAAAAAAAAAAAAAAAAACATTGTGCTTTTTATTCTTCCAGTAAATGTTTGACAGATCACTTTTCTTGAAAATGCTTGTCTCCTATGTCGCTTTCTAGTATATTATTGCAACTTAAGCTAAAAATAAATTTACTACGGAGTACTTGTATAACTTATGTAAACAAGAAAATTATGCAAGCGCATTATAAAAATTTGAATTAAAAAGTAATATGGGAACAATTCCTAAAAAATAATTACTCCATAATGATAGAGTATAAAACATATTCCTAGATCTCAACCATTAACTTAAGTTTTTGGTTGAATTGGTCCATTAACATTGTATCGGAGCCAGCGTGACACAAAGGTCACGGATTCGAATCTCATCCGCCCCTCCTTCAAAGTAGAATTAATTTAGAATAATTTTCAAAGAGAATATGTATATTAATAATGTTAAATGATATCTTCTTACATATAACTAATCTCACTATTAATAATAATTCAACACTTAATAAAAAAAATTCTTTACATAAATGTCATGGACAAAAACAGGGTAATCGAATTTCGAGATGAATTAAATGTGGTGAGATTTATGTTTTCCCTTTTTTTCGTAATTACAAGTAACCGGTTATGTTGAAGGTTAAAAAAGAGGGGATGACTTACTCCAACACTCTAACTACAAGTGTACAACATTGTAAACTTTAGTACCTTGTAGTCAATTTTGGGCAAACGTATAATACTTATTGAGACAAATTCAAAATGATCCAAAATAAATATGTTTTTCCTTACATATTATTCACAAAACACGGTCAAAGGATGGGTGGTGAATAGTGTAAAAGTCAAAGCGGGTCAAGTAAAAAAGAACGAAAGAAGTACTTCGTATTTGATTGGTTTTTTTTTTTTTTTTTAAAGGGTAAGAAAAAAGAAAAACATTAGGAACTCCTCTTCACGAGGGGTATTCCTAATGCATCAGAAGAAATAATAGGGTATAAAGATGAGGAAGTACAAAGTGTAATGTCCATGTTCTCACTAACAAGATGACCTACATTCGCGATCCAACCTGCTGTTTTGTTTGCTTCTTTGTAAACATGATGAATATCCCATTGTTGAAACCTTCATATCTGATTGTGGTGTATACTCTTATGTTCTAAGATTCCAAATAGGGGAATATAAGGCCCTGCTCTCATCAGATTATTTTCAGTTGAGTTCATTTCAGCTCTAATAAGTTCAGTTCAGTTCCTAATTTTCTTCTTTCATAAAATATTCAGTTCAATTCAGTTTAGTTTAGCTCTAATAAATTCAGTTCAACTCTAATAAGTTCAGTTTATTTCAGCTTAGTTCAGTCAATAAAAACAAGCTAGAATCTTGACACAGGAATCTTAAAAGTACACCTTTATTTACGTGAAGTATTATGTATCTCCTCAAAAAAAAAATTGTATTTATATATACAATAGTATTTATTTTTTCAAACTTCACTCAAGTGTTGGGCTACAGTCTTTTTAAACTTTTAAGTCAAAACCCAAATCGAAAGAAAGGAATATTGAATTTTATTGATAAAGCAAAATGTGGTCCATATCGGCAAAACCGAACTCAATTATCTGAAGTATAAGCAATATATTGGGCCTAAAACCCAAGCCCACGTTGACAAACCCAAGCCCACGTTGACAAACCCAGGCCCAAGTCAATACAAAATCTAACTTCCTAGTTCATCCGACAACCAAAACACCCAACTCTCCCTGTAACCACTCACGTGCCGTCTTATCCAGGTCATTTAATTTTTTTTAACAAGAAAAACAAAAATTGACCGCATTTTTGATAGCGAAGCGTGAGTTTACAAAGCGCATACATTTTCCATGAGAGACAAAATTCCACGTTATCGTCCAACGGAACGCTTCATCAAGTCATTTCTCGTCTCGTCTATTAAATGACGTCGAATAAGACTTACGAGTATTTTGTACCTTAAATAAAACGGTTATGTTTTGCATCTTACAATTATTACGAGATGATGAGACTAAAATTATTAAGGAAACAAGGACGATGTTATAAGTTTTAAACACATTAAAAGATAATTTTATTAGAGTCTCATTTCTCGTTTTTCACAGAAATTAAGGTTTTTTTGTAGATTCTTTAAAACACGTGACCGGAAGTACCAATTACATTAAATAACAAGTGAGAGAAACAGAAAAAAGAGAATAATTAGTGTGCTCATAAATATTTAGCACAAAAATTAGTAAAATTGAGGATTAAAAATATTTGGCACAAAAAATCAGTAAAAATTGAGATAATTTAGGGATTAAATAAGAACAACGAGGTTAAAATTGTAAAAAAAACCACTTACAAGTACTAAAAGGGAAAGATTCTAACGGATATAATATAAAATACTACCTCCCAGTTATTTGCAACGAAAGGGACATGCGCGGACTCCTAGGCAAAAGTTTTAAAACAAGATTATTGAAATATAAGGGCATGTACTTAAGCACTAATCCAATTAAAAATAAACCACTCTTTCCTTAAAAAAAAAAAAAAAATTAAAAATAAACCACAAATAATCAGAACCACCAAACCCAGCACCGAAAACCACCACCACCACCGAACCCACCAAGATCCACCACCACCACCGAACCCACTCACCCACCGACAACCCAAAACCCACCGAAAACCACCAACACCTACGAACCCACCGACAACCACCACCAAAACCCACTAAAAACCACCAAAATGCGCCAACAAACACTACCCGATCGAAACCCAACACCACGCTGCCTCCCACCCTTGAAAAACAACGCTGCCTCCCACCCTCGAAAATCAACCACCACGCCTCCCCCCAGAACCTACTACCCGATCGAAACCCAACACCACGAAACTCACAAAACCACCACACCCACGAAACCCACAAAACCACCACACCCACGACACAACCTTCCACGAAGCTCGTGCCGCCCACTACCACCACACCAACGAAACCCACGGGAGACCACCTCCAGATCTGGACAGAAGATGGGAAGATGAAGGAGGAGTGAGAATTTGATGATGAAGGAGGAGAGAGAAATTTGATGAATAAGATGAATGTTGAGATATGATTTTTTTTTTTTTTTTTTTGAAAAAAGATCTGATTTTTTTTGTAAGATTAGATGATTAAGTTAGGGTTATAAACTTATAATAGTATATGGTTAGTGAAATAATTAAGGGAGTAAGTTGGTTAAGTAAGGGCAGTTTGGTCATTTTACACAACAAAACTTACTAAAAGAGGAAAAAACATTTGTTGCAAATAATTGGTAGCTTTCGTTTATGGCAAATGTTGCAAATAACCGTTAACGGAGGTAGTATATTACTGGATAGTCATGGGTTCGAATCTCATTCACCCTTCATTCAAAATGGAATTAATTAACGCCGGGTATGGAAAAACATGTGCTGTATTCGCATTTCAAACCCAGAGGGCCTTTTATTTTGAGGGAAAATGATAGAGATAAAACATATTCCTACGTCTCAACCATTAAGGGCCTGTTCCGATTGACTGAATTGAGCTGAACTAAACTGAGCTGAACTGAACTTAGTGATTAGTGATTTTTAACTACGGATTAGTGATCTTTGATTATTTATTGATTATTTATTACTATAC